TCGGCCGACAGCTGTCGCTTTGCACATGGTGCATGCGACAGAACAATAATGGACCTACTTAGGGAGTTTATTCGCTTAAACCAAGATGCTTCTTTATAAATTATATTTTTATTTTAATTTCACGCAACACATTTGTTGCAGTAAAACGCATTCGTTCCAAGTTCCATGCGATTCGTCTGTATCGTTCACGAGATATTTAATAGAGATGTGCGAATCAAAAGATTTTTAATGCCGAATTGAATCGTTGAAATTTCATCCTAATAGAATCGAATCGTTCAAAGAATTTTTAATTAACATAATCGTTGAATTCAACATGAAAATAGTGACTTCAGTAACTAACAGAGAGAGATAACATTAATCATGTGATATCAATTTATTTTCAAGGTAAGAGATATATAATATATAGTCAGTAAACGTGCATAAAATACAGTCCCAACCTTGAAAGCTGCGCAACGACGCATCGATTCGACAGTTGTCGGTAATAATTTATCTAGGAGCCATTACTTTCTTTTAATATTTTTAAAAAAAATCTTAATATATAGAAAACTTTTCAAGTTATGTTAATTCCCGTAAGGCTGGATGTCTTTGATAGTTCTCCATTAATGCTAATGTGCGCGATCCGTATTCGATTCGAAATTTTCGAATTATTCGGATTCGAATCATAGAGATTCGAAGTTGAATCGAATTGAATTTCACTTGATTCTATTCGATTCGAATTCGAATAGTTTACACATCTCTAATATTTAATATTGAAAATCACAATTTTGTATATATAACCACTTACAGTAGAGAAGCGATATAAATAACCATTACTCCAGTATATAATTTCGTAAAAAAGGATACTATCCAAATAAAAAAAACTTACCGTGTTAAATATTACATATTAGGACACGCGGCATAGAGGAAAAATTAGTATTCACTACACCGTTTTGGTTTAATGATTGATTGCAGGGTTAAAAAATTATGTGCTTTAAGTACACGGAGAGAATATCATTGTTATTTTTCATATAAATTCTTGCTAATTTTTCTAGTAGTCTAGGGATAATCTGTCAGTAAGGTTTATTTTGCTAAGGAACATGGTAGATTTCGCCAGATACATAACAAGTGTTTTGATTGCACATTTTAGTTCCTAAGATACAAGGTGTCCCAGAACAACCTTCAAAGCTGTCGTGGAAGCATGGTATAAATTAATGTAAACGTCCCATACCATTTTGCAATATTCACAATAGCATCAAATATTAATTAAAGAAGATCTGTGAATGATCATACGAGATATGATAGATAAGCTGTAGTGACGACATCTGCCGTCGTGTACTTGTATATTAGGTCAAACTGAACAAAAAAGTCCTTTACCTTTTTCTCAATAATTTTGTGAATTTTTATTCAGTTATTAATTAAGTAAAATTAATATATTATCGCGAGCAATCATCTGTCAATCTTTTTTAATTAGTAATTAAAAATATACCAAATTATTGTACAGGAAAATGGTGGAAGACTTTTTCGTTCAGTTTAACCAAATGTACAACCACACGATGGCAGACGTCGCCACTACAACTCATCTACTATATCGCACATGATTATTCACAAATCTTCTTTAATTAATATCTCGATAATTATTACGAATATTGCAAAACAGTACAAGATTTTTATATTCACTTCAATCCGTACTATGCCTCCACGAGAGCTTCGAAGTTTCGTTTTGAGATATTCTGTATAAGTAGTACATATGAAATAAAAGGATAGTGAATTACTACAGGATTTTGATCTATTCGTTGATTACAAAATCTTACAGTAATTTTCACTATAAAATTCTCTGCTTGTAGCATTGTACTGAGTAAAATATGGCAAGGGAGCATGTTAAAATTAGACCCAAGTTAACGTTTATCATTTTAATGTTTATCAGGTCCGATTTTTCCAATCTCTTGGTAAGATAACCATCAATCATATATCTGTCTTTGTCTAATTTGAAGGAAAAACAAAGGCAGATGTATGATTTAACTCAGTCAGTTGGGATACCAAGAAGTAAACCAGCCCTTAGACAGCGAAAGAAATATATAAAAACATAATTTTGTGCGATACATAGTGACTTTGTAAGTAGCTCCCTTGAAATGCGCCAGTGAAAATGCGCCCCTCGGGCGTCCTGAAAGGCACATACCTGGTGAACGAGCCCCTTACGGTTACACCACTAGATAGTCCCCGAAGCAGAATCGGCCACGGTTCCCAAGCACCTTCTGTCTCGGCACGGGCCGGGAAACAGCGAGGAAGCGCAGCGCGGCGCGTTACCAACGGCCCCATTTGTTCTCCGCCCGCTGAGAGAAGCGGCCGTACGGGCCCCCCTTCCTCACGACGGCACGTTTGCCGCCACCGCCAACGCCGCCCCCGCTGCGCCCGTAAATAAGGCTGACCGATAGCGATAATATAGCGGGAGGCATTTCGGGGCGCCTTATCGCGCCCGGTATACACAGCCTCGTACCTTTCCGTCCCAAGACAAATTGGCGAACGAGTACACGCGCCTTAAGTGTTACTAAATCTCCCGCCGCGTGGATTTATTCGGCGGGGGGAGGGGGGAGGGGAGGTGGCGGGCCCCACGTTTCTCCCGTTCGCCAACCCTTCTCGCGTCAGCGAAGATAACTCAGCGTTCACGAGCGACCGGGCAGAGGGATGCGAAGTAACGGCCAAGCTCAGAGCTTTCGTGCTTGTGCGCGCGCGCGCGTACGTGTTTTTTAGCTTCGCTGTTGATACATACACAGCGACATATTGATCTCTGTGCAGCGCCTATCGAGAAACTGGCAAAACCAGCGGACCAACATTTCACACCGCCGGAAGCGTTTCGCGATTTTAGAATCTCGGTTTCCGTTTTATTGTTGAACACACCCACGCGCAGAGTACCTCCGCACCTATCTACACACGTGTCCATCCCGGTCATGGCACTGCGAGCATCCCGAGCTTTGTGAGAGGCACGTGAAGCAGCTATTGGTCCGGGAGGGATGCGCGGAGGGCGAAATAATCGGGACGTGAGGAAAGCCCGCGGCAGATGCCGGGTGTAATTTTCGGCGGGAAGCATTAGCGTGCGAAAGGCGCGCCTCCTGAGGGAAACCGCCCTTTGCGGTTGGCCAAGGCTTCTCATGCAACGCCCGTGTTTCCCTTTGGTCGTTTCCGTTCTTTTTGCATTTCCCATTTTTCTTTTTCCGTTGTGTTCTCTTTCGTTTTTTTCCAACTGGAAACCCCCGCAAGAGCCGGAAAACGTCTGCCGAGATAAAGGAGCGATATCCTTGATATGTCTCTGTGCAGATATATAACCGGTCGGAGTATAATTATGCAATCCCAATTACGCGCCAAAGAACGCATGCGAAAGGACGCGACGCGGCGCCGCGGTTTTGTCCGCGCGAAAGGGCGCGCTTAGGGGCGAATTAATGTTAACACCGAAGATATACGAGCTTTAAACACACAACAGAAAACAGACGCGTGACTGCTCCGAAACAGACGTGCTACTCTCTCTGGTATTCTTCCTCGATATCTCTGTCTCTCCCCCTGACGACGAAATTTGCGATGTAGACAAGGAAATTAAACTCTCCAACAAACTAATGTCGCCATGCTGTGCTCAAACCGTGCAAACATTCCCGAGTCGAAATTCTGATTCTACCTTCGGCCTCAGCATTCCATTCAACGCCTATTTTGATACTCTGAAGCCTGTATCAAACTCTTTCAATTCTATTGAACCCGCCAACTTTGCCGAGAGATTCTCTTTGGGAACTTACAGTCAGTGGTACACGAACATATACACTATTTTTCCTAGAATACAAAGTCTTTTTCAAGTGAAAGGAAATATACTTGTCTCTCTCTAATTTATTGCACTGTTTATTGCACAAAAGTTCATCGAAAACGAACAGATCTAATTATATAAACAGGCAATCAATTTTTTCTTACAAACCAAAGCGTTATTACTAAGTGTAGTGCATGCATATCATATGTGATACAATTGTGAAAGTGTGGAAATGCTCCGGATACGTGTATCATGTACTTGTTGTAATATTTAATGTGTATAAATAATTATTCGGTTATATTCAGCACCGAGTCACACAGTTGATTTTCTATCAAAATGATTTGACATATTTATTTTGTGATTATGTAATAAGTTACATCGGCAAAAGAAGAGTATCCTGATCATTATACAAATGTGTAGAACAGAGATTATAAATATCATTTTAATGATATATCCTTTTATTTGGCTCGCAAGAATTTTGGGCATGGTTTTCCTCGCTTCTGACGTCATTAATCCAATATAGTCACTGATCAGGAACTTTAAACACTGTATAACATGTGTATTAAATACTAATCCCTCAGAATATACACACGGAAAAAAAGATCTACTATGGACAACTAAACATAATTTGCTGTATTAGCCACTTTTTCTTTGCTGCAGGAGTCAATTTCCTTGCTATGATAACAAGAAAATCTGCTCTTGCAATAAAAAAAGTAGTTAAAGCAGTAAATTATGTTTAATTATCCATCTGTAACAAATTTGCTACGTTAGCCACTTTTCTTGCTGTAGGAGCAGATTTTCTTGTTATCATAGCAAGAAAATAGGTTCCTGCAGCAAAAAAAAGTAGCTAACATAGCGAATTATATTTATCTGTTCGTATATAGCAAATTAGTTTGCTGCTGCAGGAAGTTATTTTTTTCCGTGAAGGTGTTCGAAAGTTTAATTCGAAAGTAGGACTAAAGTTTCAGTTTATTTCGCCCAAGATGCGACTGATTAACGTGCGCCGAAGGAACTGAGCCGCTTCGACGCGATTTCCACTCGTGGACAGAATATCGTTTTGTAAAAAGGACCGTGCTCCATGCGGAAACGCGAGCGAATCGTGCGTGTAACCATGGCGCGGCTACGTGGACCCGCGCGCCCGTGGCGTTTGTACAGCGAAATAGACGAAGCCGCGAGCGCAAACAGATTCGTCCGGATAACGAAAGCGACATGGGAATAAACGAGATAGCGCTATTACCCGGGACTTCCGTCGATTGTTCCTGCGAGATGGAGACGTCGGCGTCCATTCAATTATTTCTTATCGGATAAATCCGTTCCCTCCACTCCTCTACTTGCCTCCTCTCGTTACCTCTCCACCTCTCACCCCTCTCTTGTCATCCTGCAAGATATCGAAGAACGAACGATCGTGGATCAACGAAGTGTCGCGCACAATGCAAAAAATAATTTGTCCAAAAATAAAAACAAGAAAAAAAGGCAGGAAAAAACCAATTTTCGAGACATTCGTATCGCCGGTATCCCGCGCACAATGTAACCTTAATGAAACTGTCGAAAAATTTATTTTTTTTTCATATCGACGCGCTCGCCGGCGATTGAATTTTAAACCCCTCTCGTTTGCGACCATTGAATTTTAAAGTTCCCTATTTCCTTTCCCGCTGCTCTCCTCCTCCCCACTCCTCCCTTTCCAGGGCCCCCGCAAAAACGCTTATCGATGTAAAATATGAATGGCCACTTGTCAAATTGCTTTCGTTCTAAATACACGTATACGTATGTACATAATTTACGTTACGCGGCTGAATGACTCCTCTCTCTATTCGCCGGCGTATCCTCCGGCGCGGATCGGAGTCGACGGGGATATTTATTCGCGAGCGCCTTTCTCTCTCCTCCCATGGCGCCCGTCGATGATCGGGCCCCGAGTATCGCACGGGCTTTTCCGGTCGAGTCGCGAGACAATGGCCATCGAATCTACAATTGTCCTAATCGTCCGGCCGCGTAGGCAACGGTGGCATAAAATCAATGGTTTGTCAAGCGGCGGCCGCGCGCTGTCGGTCGGCCGCGTCGAGTGCGCGACGTAAAAATCGATCCTCCTGCGTGGACAAGTCGCGTCGCGAATTTCAAAAGGAATTCGTTTGGCAAACACGGCGCGGTCAATCAAGCACCATTCAACGGCCGTAATAAAATAACACGCGGCGGACAGGAGGTTTTCGAGCGATTCGCCGGCGCGTTACACGCCGCGACGATTTGGTTAACTGACTGGCCGTTCGATGACTTTTAACGGACAATGGAAACGGACGAGCGTCCGATCGGCCCCTGCATTATTCCCTACCCCTCTCTCTCTCTCTCTCTCTCTCTCTCTCTCTCT